GGCCTGAAAACTTCTGTACTTTTCCATATTTCAGAGTTGGATTTTTCTGTTTACTGATGATTTTTTTTGTTTTTTCACTTAGAATTGCTACAAACTCTAAAACAGTTTTTAAAAGCTACAATCAATATGTGAAGGCTCCTGTGATAACTGTCATACATCCATGCAACTGAGAACTAGGTGCTACAAACTTTAAAAGAATTCTGCCAAGGAGCTATTCAGTGAGGTATGTGACAGCTAGCACTTCCTCTCTAGCAGAAATAAAATACCTGAAGGCTCTTTATTAAATTACTCTTCCATGTAAAATTATATCTATTTACTATTTGGACAATGATGCTCTTTTCTTTTGGTCAAAACTTGGAAATCTTTCAGATTTAAGAGAAAATATTGTAATCTTGTGAAAATCCAGGCATGAGGAATAAGGAATTAAGTTAATGTAATTTGCATGATTGTGATTACCAACGATGGGTCTTTACAGCTTAATGTTTTGGTCTGCCACATGCATCCCAGCATTTATCTAAGTGTCCCTGTGAACACAATCACACTCCAAAACAGCACAGATGGCAAAAGTATTTCCACACATGTTTTGAAGTGGTCTTCTAAAGGAAGCAAATATTCTTCAGAAACAGGAAAAAAAAAAGGGATTGAAATATTATTTATATTATTTATTTTTTATTTATATTATTTATTTTTAACCTATTTTAATATTAAAGATATACAAGTTTGATTAAAACAGAAATTTAAACCAAGAGTGAACTGCTCACTGAAGAACAGCTGTGTATAGTCTGCCGCTGATTTTCCACTGCAGCATGCTGTTCCACAGTCCTTCAGCTCCCTCTGCTGCTTAATGAAGTCGCAAATTTTTCATATTTGCGTAGAGTTTTTACTCGGTTTTTTAAACCTCTGTTTTGATGACAAAAAAAAGATGAAGATTAAAATTGCACCTGAAGCAATAAAATGATTGCTCAAATTGATGAAGAGTGTGTGCAAAGTTCCATGTAATTATTGTCCTTTCTTTTCTCAGGGAATGAGAAGCCCATCAAACTGTCCAGATTGCTTTCTGGTGACTTGCTGTGCATATATTCTGCCATTATAATTTGGCTTGGTATAATTGAACAGTATCTGTTGCTTAAACTGATTTCTTCTGGATGTGCAACTTTATTTCACAGACATTATTACATAGAATCAAAGAATCATTTGGTTGGAAAGATCATTGAGTCCAGCTGTTAACCTAACCAAGTCCGCCACTAAACCTACACCTAGGTTTCCATGTGTCTTCTAAATACTTTCAGGGATGGTGGCTCAACCATTGCCCTGGGTAGCCTGTTCCAATGCTTGACAAACCTTTCCATGAAGAAGTATTTCCTAATATCCAATCTAAACCTCTCCTGGCACAACTCGAGGTTGTTTCCTCTTGTCCTGTAACTTGTTTGGAAAAAGAGAAACAAGCCCCACCTGGCTACAACCTGCTTTCAGATAGTTGTAGAGAGAGATAAAGTCTCCCCCAGGCCCCCTTTTCTTCAAGATAAAGAACCCCAATTTCTTAAACTGCTTTTTATATGACTTGTGCTCTAGATGCTTCACCAGCCTTATTTCCCTTTTCTGAAAGTGCTCCAGCACTTGAAGTGAGGGGCTCAAAACTGAATACAGGATTTGAGCTGTGGCCTCACCAGTGCTGAGTACAAAGGGACCATCATTGCCCTTGTCCTGCTGGCCACACTATCTCTGATACATGCCAGGATGCCACTGGCCTTCTTGGCTACCTGGGCACACACTGGGTCATGTTCAGACAGCTGTCAACCCTTTCTAGACACTCTCCCCCCAGCCTGTAGTGCTGCATAGGATTGTTGTGATTCACAAGCAGGACCTGGCTCTTCGCCTTAATGAACCTCATACTGTTGACCTCAACCCATCGATCCAGCCTGACCAGATCTCTCTGCAGAGCCTTCTGATCCTCCAGTAGATCAAAACTCCCACCCAGCGGGGTGTCACCTGCAAACTTGCTGAGGGTGCACTTGATCCCCTCATCCAGATCACCAATAAAGGTATTACTCAGGAATGGCCTCAATACTGAACCTTGGGGAATATCACGAATGACTCACAGCCAGCTAGATGTATCACCATTCACAACCACTGGGTTCAGCCACCCAGCCAGTTTTTAACCCACTGAAAAGTGCACCTATCCAAGCCAAGAGCAGACAGTTTCTCCAGGAGAATGTTGTGAGAGACAGTGTCAAAGGCTTTACGAAAGCCCATATAGACTGCATCCACTAGGTCACCTTGTCACAGAAAGAGATCAGATTGGTCAAAAGGGACCTGCCTTCCATAAACCATGCTCTCTGGGCCTGATCCCCTGGTTGTCCTGTATATGATGGCACTCAAGATGATCTGCTTCATGACCTTCCCCACCCCAAAAGCCAGGCTGACAGGCCTCTAGCTCCCTGGATCCTCTTGACCCTTCTTGTAACTGGGCATCGCATTTGCTAACCTCCAGTCAACTATGACCTTCCCATTAGACCATGACCGCTGATAAATGATGGAAGATAGTTCAGTGAGCACTTCTGCCTGCTCCCTCAATATCCATTGTTGGATTCCATACAGCCCCAGGGACTTGTGTCTAAGTGGTGTAGCAGGTCACTGACCATTTCCCCTTGGATTATGAGGGTTTCATTCTGCTCCCTGCTCCTGTCTCCCACCTCAGGGGGCTGGGTACTCAGAGAAAAACTGGAACTACTTAAGACTGAGGCAAAGTAGGCATTGATTACCTCAGCCTTTTCCTCATCCTTTGTTACTGTGTTTCCCCTTCCATCCAATAAAGGATCCAGAGTCTTCTTAGCCCTCCTTTTGTCACAAAGGTATTTATTGAACACTTTTATTGTCTTTTATGCAATAGCCAGATTAAGTTCTAGCTGGGCTTTGGCCCTTTTAATTTGTTTGCTGCAAAACCTCATGACATCCTTGTAGTCCTTCTGAGCTGCCTGACCCTTCTTCCAACTATCCTCTTTTCCCTGAGTTCCAGCCAAAGCTCTTTGATCAGTCAGGCTGGCCTGCTCCAGACCCTTAACAATTTCCTTTCTGAAGAATGTCCAGCCTTGGACTCCTTTGCTTTTCAGGACTGCCTCTCAAGGTACCCTACCAACCAAGTTCCAAAACAAGCCAAAGTCTGCCTTCTGGTCCAAGGTACCAGTTCTGCTGAGTCCCCTCCTTATTTCAAGAATTGCAAAATCAAACGTTTTGTGACTACAGTGCCCAACATGGTCTCCAACTGTTTCATAGTGATATGCACATGTAAGTTACTAATTGTCCTTTATACGTGTTAATAATTATGTCTTTATATAACTCATGTCCTCTTTATTAGCAGTATTTCTTGCAGATATCTTTGGAATACTTTCTTTCCAAGATTTTCATCATGTTCACCTATTAAAAATGTTAAAGAAAAAAAAAAGAAGCAGCTTGTATGTGCTTGCATTTTCTAGGTTTTATTGCTATGTTTTTCATTTCTAAGAAGACTTGATAAAGCTTATCCCAGACAGAAGACAAATGTATATATTCAAACTATGTATTGGTCAAAATACAATATAAATGGAAATACACACACATTCATTAAAGCAGAACTTTGGTTAATAAGGTATAATGAAGGGAAGGGATTATTTGCCAGAATATGTCTGAAGTACAAAAAACCCAGCATCATACATCATTCTGACTGAAATAGTGACTTGAAGAGCAGTAAAGGTTAAGGGAACATTAACACATACTATTATGCTGAATTTAAGGCATCTCTGATCCTCGGGATTTTGGCAACTGAGGTCCATACAGTCTGTATGGAATAGGGGAAGCCTAGAATTCAATGTGTAATTTTCTCCATAGGTATCTAGGTTATTATACCCATTTTTTTCTCTTCAGATATTCAGCCAAGAGATTAGGTCAGTCACTGATGAATTACCCCAGGAAAGTAAGATTATGAAATCTCCATTTGAAATTATGTAAAACTACTGAAAGCATATTTTGAAGAATCTTCCTCCAGTAAAGTAGGGATGACTTTCTGAGGGATTTACATTAATGCTTAGCCCCAGAAGTAATGGTTCCTGTAGGTATGAATTATGCTACACCTGGAAATAAATGCAATCCACACATAGTCCAACACAAACAGAACTCAGGCAATTCAGGTTGATCAGCTCTCTCAGGTACTTCGTGTGTGTTTGGTTTTGTCCTTGTGAGGACTGTGCTTAGGTTTGAATCTTCTCAGTGTTTGCTGCTGCTGATCTAGAAAAGGCAACACAGTTGTCATCTTCAGGCATCTTGTTCCTGGGTGACACCTTAGAAGCAAGACCATTGGGCTGGAGACTTATCACATGACTGAATACTTCCAAGGAGAAAATTACAGAATGATGATCAGATTGAAAAAGTTGTAGGCATGTAAAATAAATAGGTGGATTGCAGGAGCCCAAGTCTGCAAATGAGGGCTCTCTCAAAAGCTGCCAGATTCTGGAGGTACTTGGGAGTACCTCCCCCTTTCAGCTGTAGCATGTCAGGCACTCACAACTGGTGCATGGACTGACACTTCTCTACCTGAGCAGTTCAGTGCCTCACCCCAGTTCAAGTCTCACCAGAGTCTGCTGCCCCACCATAGCCAAATTTCAATTATGTATTGCCTGAAAAAGCTTCATACACTGATAGTCCTGTTGTCACAAAACATATTGGGCCACAAAACAGAAGGCAACACTGATCATCATACCCAGTCCTTCACTACCAGAGACAATCAGGACATGAGCAACAAAACGGGGCATAAAGGATTCAAGTCACAAAAGCTTTCCCACCACTGGAAATACAAGACCACCCAAGAATTTCAGGTGCTCAAAAGCAAATGTGGCAGTTATTAAATTTTGGGTTTAGCCATAGTTATTAAATCTAGAGCATAGAGCTGTAGTTCAGTTGCCCATCTTTTAAAACAGAGTGATGAAGATTACCAAGTTCATGACTGTGTATTGAAGATAATGAAAATGTGAAGATTTTATGAAAAGATTTATTCAGTGACAACAAAATTTTCAGAAACCAAGTCTTAGTCAATCAGAGTGAAAAAATTGTATTGAATTGTATTTGACAAGTCATTTGGCATACTAGACAACCTTTCTGGAATAACAGGTGAGGAAACACTGCTTTTAGTCTTGTTCATTTACTCCATTTACTTCCATGGGAGTTGGCTCATGAAAAATGTCTAAAAACCTAATTCATACGTTTGATAGATCTGCCCTCTCCATCAGCACTGTGGGCATACACTATAACTCCAGATGTTACTGAAAAATCAGATATTAATGTAATTTCCCATGTGGTTCCCCCCCCTTACAAATTAGCAGTATAGCGATCTCTGTTCTGAAAGTCTCTGTAAGCACGTTTCGCATCTGCTTTGCTGTGTGGAATTCTTCCAAAAGGTTCCAGATCATTGAAGCAGGCATCAAAAACTTCATCCACAGCTTTTTCTGCTGTTTCTTTGCTAACTTTTCTAACAGCCAGAATGGAACGGATTGCTCTGTCTCGTACACAAGTCTAAAGTGGGGGGAAAAAAAAGTAAAATCTGTCATTATTAGTGTAGTTTTTTGCCAGATTTTGTTAAGTATTGGCTTCCATTTTGTAGGCAATAATTTGTATGAAAGAAGAGTCAAACAGTGCCTGTAGTAAGCATTAAAGTACATTTCAGTTCCATCCTGTGCAAACTATGTGCTTTAGTTTTCCACACACACATAAACCATGAAACAATTAAAAGGCATTCCTTTAGAACAGGAAGTAAAATACAAATTGACATTTGTTGTAGGTGTTAAGTATTTGTAAAAGTTGAACTGGACACAAAAAAAACGCCAGAAAGAAACAGACACAAATACCAGTTAGGTTCTTTAAAAACTGAAATGCTGTAAAACAAAGGGAAGACTTCTCTACTGCCCTTCATTTTGATTCCTCTCTATATGGTAACATTTTCTTACACAGTTTGTTTACCAAAAGACCAAAAAATGCATAAACATCATCTAGAAGCAAACTGCCACTCTAACATGAGCAATCACTCGGATCTCAATCTGTAGACTTCATTACTATTTACAAATTAATTCCTACAAGAGCACATGATTATTTCGAAATCTTCTAATTTTGCTACCTTCAGTTTTCAAAGACTTTTTAAAAGAGTGTCACCCACTTATAGGGGATATTTCCACTGCATTTCCTGCAAGCCTTGCTTTTTGTTTGGTTTTATTAGCCATCTATTGTCAGTGGTAATGCTTTAAAATATGACTAAATATTCAGGGATTTCACTTCAATAAAAATAACAAGGTGGGGAAAAAAACCTAGCAACCGCCATTAAGGGTTAGTTAAGAGGAAACAGAAAATCATGGCATCTATTTCTTTTTCTCAAGTTTTCAGCTATGAAAGCTCAGAAGGCTGAGTAAGTAAAGATGGCTCATAACAAATTATTAGATTTTAACATCCACAGTCTTTACCTGATGGTGCCCTTTCAATCCAAATTTAAACCTGGCTATTTCATTCATTAAAGTACAGTCTCCACTGAGATTAGCCGCTCGAATCTATTGAGAAAAATAAAAAGTCACAAGATTAGAGAAACACATGAAAATACAAAGTCAAAAAAGTTGTAACAAATGCTTTTCTTCAGTATATTTCTGGTGACTGCTGGTAGAGGATATTCCTGAGGCCACTTTAATATAAGTATCTTTTACTATTACATCCATCTCAGCCTCAGTGAAATAAAACAACCTTCAAGTTTCTCCAGGAACTACATCTCACATATCCCTAAAGTTTAAATAAATGAGCAGTATAGATTATATGTATGTGTGTATGTAAATACATGAACTGCTTGAAGAACATGGAAAATAATACTCTCCCCAATCTATATCACAATCTATTACAAGAGTCAGGAAGTAAGGCAGATATCTTTCAGACTACAGATGCAATACGAGAAGAGCAGTAATCTATTTGTTTTGCAAAAAGCCACATTTAAATGAGCATGTATGTTTTAGCTTAACCGTCTTGTCCTGTACACTAGAATTTCTTTTGTCTGCTAAATATTCTATACCCTACACAGTCTTAGGAAATGTAAATAAATCCTGATTTCCAATATTTAAGTACCAGAGTGAAAAAAAAAGTATGGAAAATATGAAAAAGAATTAAAAAGCTGTCAACAAAAAATGTAAATACCATATAATTTAGTAATCAAAAAACCTAAAGTGAACGAATAATCCTGACAAGAGCAAGAACATGCACAATCTTGATTTATATATACAACTCATGTTTGAGGTTTACAGGCTTTATTCTGCACTGTGTAAATGCTTGGACAGAAAAACAAAGTAGATGATAGTTAATAATTCAGAATTATTGTATTGAGTTTACATGGCAAAGTGCTGGCAGTGAGGAGCCTGCCAGTGTGGAGTCTCTGTGAGACTGGAGAAGTGGCTGTTCCTATGTCAGACAGAGACTGTTTTTAAACTGGTTTTAAAACAGACTCACCATTATTGGAGCTGGTTGTATCTCTGTGAAGACAGGTTCAAGAAATGATAAAAAGAAAAATACAGGGCAGCTGTGAGATGGAGGAGTAATGAAAATATGAGGGAAACAGCCCCACAGACACCAAGACAGTGAGGAAGGATAGGGAGGGGTTGCTGCAGGCATCACAGCAGATTCCCTGGCCACTTGTGGAGAAGTCCATGGAGACAGAGGTCGTCTCCCTGCAATCTGTGAAGGAATACAGTAGCACAGATATCCATACTGTACTCCAAGGAAGACATCATGACACAACAGACAAACATGCCCTGAAAAAAGCAGCAGCCCATAGAGAGGCCATGCAGGAGCAGATTTTCTGTCAGGAACTGTGGGCCCTGGGGGACCAATGGTGGAGCAGTCCATTCCTGAAAGACTGTATGCTGTGGAAAAAACTCAAGTTGGAGCAGGTCTTGAAGAATAGCAGCTCAAGGGAAAGACTCATGTTTAAGCAGCTCATGAAGGACTGTATCCTGTGGGAAGGACCTCAAGGTGGACCAGGGAAAGAAAGCAAGGATGAAAGAGCAGCAGAGACTAAGTGTTATGAACTGACCACAGCTCACATTCCCTTGGCAGGGAAGGAGTTAGAAGAATCAGAAATGAAGGAGTGAAGCTGAGCCTAGGATAAGATTTTCTGTGACCAAATGATTTGGATTATATCAGAAATCAAATAAAAGCATGCAGATTCATACACACAACACCTGTGTCACATACACAAGAGGAATCCTTCCCAGTCTGTGCTCCACTTAATTTCATCTTCTAAGGTATCAAGGCCTTAAATACTCAAATGTCCTCTGAAACCACAGAATCATAGAATGGTTTGGGTTGAAAGGGGCCTTAAAGATCATCTAGTTGTAACCTCTCTGCCATGGGCAGGGACACCTTCCACTAGACCACGTTGCTCAGAACCCCATCCAATGGTGATGTATTTGTAACTACAGTATACTAGCAACAATAACACTATTACTCAAAAAATGAATGTTACAGGAAAAGACGAGTTTGTTGTTAATCCAAAAAAAACTAAACTAAAGCAAGATGACTGTGATAACTACCCAACATAACAAGACTTGCATGGGATGAAAAGAATTCTATAAGCATTCGATTAACATGTGAATGTGTTTTCACGTCTAGCTGCTCTCTCATTTGTCACTTCTTACACTCACAGTGATCACATTCTATTTAGTATGACATTAACTTACTATTATTTGTAAAAACTAAGTATTTGTTTTCTGAACAAAATTATTTATGTTGACCTGACAGAAAAGACAAAATGTATTAACAGGATTACAACAAATTAACTGTGTGTAACAGACCATATAACACAAAGCAACCCAAATAACCAGCAATAATTAATGACAACATTAGAAGCATTTTAACTTACCTCTGAACATGCTAAGTGCTTGACATTTTTAAACCAGTCAACATGTGCACGGCAGTGATCAAATGCATGAATCAATTCATGTGTGACCACCCGGTTCATATGGGATTGCTGGCGAATGTTGTTCTGACACAGAACAATCTGCAGAAGAATAAATATAGGTAGTCTTTCCACTAAGTTTCAACACCTCCCTTACTTCTCAGAGACACAGCACACACCACTTACAGCATTCAGGGTCTTCAGATTGGTGTTTTTCAACATTAATAGCCTTATCATACTGAAGTGTACGAGTTAAAATACCATGGAACACTTTTCATTTATCTTGTTTTCATTATTAACTAAGGTATCAGTATTGGTAGACTTAATCCTAGCAACAAAACACGAAAAAAATTGCAGTCTTTTGAAAAGGGACTATATCCAGCACCTACCTGAGATGTGGCAGCATCAAAACCTCCACTGACACAGCCATCACAGTTTTCACAAGAGAAGTGTCGGTCATTGAAGACAGTGCTGAAAGGCACAGACAAACAAAGTTACAGAAAATAATTTGAAAAATTTCAGTCACTACTTATCACAGTGACGTTACTACATAGGCCAAGACAAAGTCATTTACATACCAACCAGATTGCTTCAGAGCCTCAAGGAGAAGTCGAGCATATGGATCTAGAAAAACATTGCTGCAATCAATTTCTCTAGACAAAAGTTTTGAAAATCATCTATGAACAAAATATGAAGACAGTCAAGGAAGAAAAACAAACAAGAAAAACTCTGTTACATGGAAATTTATACTTTGCAATATTTAATCCAATTGCAACACAACTGGCATCTGTTACAAATCAGACTATGTGATACAGAATCATAGAATAGTTTGAGCTGGAAAGGACCTTAGAGATAATCTAGTCCAAATCCCCAACTTTGGGCAGGGACATGTTCCACTCGACCAGGTTCCTCAGAGCCCTATCTAACTGGGCCTTGTAACATTCCCAGGGATGGTGCAACCACAACTTCCCTGGGCAACTGTCCCAGTGCCTCACCACCCTCACAGTAAAAAATTTCTTGTGTATATCTAGCCTAAATTTGCCCTGTTGCAGTTTGACCCCATTACTCCTTGTCCCATCACTGCAATTCCTAATGAGGAGCCTCTCTCTGGCTTCCATGTAGGCCCTTCAGACACTGGAAGGTTGCTCTGAAGTTTCCATGCAGCCTTCTCTTCTCCAGGCTGGGCAGCCCCAACTTTATCACCTTGTCTTTGTAGGAGAGGTGCTCCAGCCCCTTTACCAACTTGATGGCCCTGCTCTGGACTCACTCCCACAGTTCCATGTTTTTTTATGCTGGGGGCACTAGAGCTGGATGCAGTACTACAGGTGGGCTCCCAGGAGAGCAGAATAGAGGGGGAGAATGACCTCCCTTGATCCATTGGCCACGGTCTTTTTGATGTAGCCCAGGACACAGAGTAAAAGCTGTTCAGGAATCCAGTCAATCCTGATATTATTTTATTACTAATAAGCATAAATAGAGCGGCCTATAGTGACCGTCGTTTGCTGTTAACACTCGCAGTCCACATCTGTGGTCGTTCAGGCCCAGAAAAATCTATTTTGAGAGTTTTTCCAGTCCCGTTTTCTCAGGCTTAGCCAAAGTTTTTTCCCAAAGCTAGCTGTTTTCCCCTAATGTAAACAGAAGGATTAATAACAAAGATAAAACACCTGTTGAATATGTGTCTAGGCCTGTGAAAAGGTGCTACTTTTTCTGCACCAATCAACTTTATTCTGTCCTTGGAGTTGCGAGGAACTCTACCTAAGCAGTGTGTTTTAAAATAAAGTTGTCTCTTTCCTATCTTGAAAGATGACCATGTAGCTGTGTGTCTTATTTCCACCACTCCAAAGGGTTAAATCCCTAACCCGCGGCTACACGCATCAAACAGTGAAAAGGGCACGAATGCACAGAAATTGACAAATGATCTTAATTTCTCAGAAAAAAAAAAAAAAGGAGAAGAATTTTTTTTCTTTCGTATTAAAAAAAACCAAAACCCTCTAACTTTCAAAATCATATTTTGTCTTAACCAAAATCAGCGCTTTCCTAAAGCTGACCCGCCGCCTGCTCGGGCCCAGATGCGGCCGCCGCTGGGGTGCTACGGCAAGAGGGCAGGGCTCTCCCCGGGACGCGCGGCACAAGGTCACAGACCGGTCTCCGCCTCGGCACCTCCGCTGCGCCGGGGTCGGGCCCGCGGGGGGACAGGAGAGCGCTTACTCGTTTCCAGGGTCAGCCTCAGCATCAGCTGGCACTTGTTGTGGAAGGTGAAGAGGCTGCGGACCAGGAAGCTCTGCGGCTTCTTATTCCGGTCCGGGAAGAGTCGGTAGCCGAAATCATCCTTCTCCCCCTCCTCTGTCCCTTTCTTCTCTGTCGCCGGTGTCGAATCCGGTTCCCCTTCCCCCATGTCCGGCCGTGCCGTGACAGGCCGGGCTGTGGGGCTGCGGCCACGCCAATCCCCGGCTGCGCTGCCGGCACGTGGGAGGACGCCGCGCGCAGGCGCTGTGGCCTCCTGCCGCCCGGGGCCGCGCTGCACCCTGGGAACGGGCTGGGCAGCGCGGGCGGCGGCGGGAGGAGCTGTGGTGCCGTGCAGGTGAGGCCGGGACGGGACGAGCCGAGCCGAATGTGCAATGGGCTGGCGGCGCTGTCCCGCAGCCGCATCATCAGCCCTGTGGTCCACGAGCTGCTTGGCCGTGCGGGGCGGTGAGGAGAGGCGAGGGGGAGCACACCCTGATGGAGTCAGGGCTTTGCGGGTGGTGTAGAGGGCGGGTGTTGAGTCTCAAAAGGGCTGCTCTGCCTCGGGGCCTCCTGCTGCATGGCCGCGGGATCCACTCCTGTGCTGGCGGCCAGGCTGCCAGCTTGGTGCGGCCGCTCCAAGGAATCGCTAGAACCAGCAGCCTGTGGGTGTTGGAAGGGCTCGGCGTTGAAAGTCTAATAAAAGTGCCCTGAAGGGGGTAAGAGCTGTGCCGCAGAGGCTGCTGTCAGTGCGTAGATTAAGGCCCTTGCTAAGTTGTATGTGGCTAGTGGGTTACCGAGGCAGTTTGATTTTATACACTTGAGCAGGATGCTTGAGAACGGCAAACAGATTTCGTGTTAGATTTTCGCGTGCATGAGGATATTGTTTTAGTCAGAGATAGGAAAAATAAAAGTTCGGCTGATTTCGGTATTTTTTTTTGTATCTTTTTAAGCATCTTATTCTAGCTACCTAGAAATGCTAGACTGTATGGAGCATTTGATGTGTCCGTGCCCAAGTTGTGCGAAATTAACAGACTGAATCTTACAATAGTAGTTCGGTGTGGGATAACAGCTGAAGGTAGAAAAAACCATAGTAAGCACCTTAATTGGAAATGTGATGAAAGCTATGTATTTTTGGATTCACTGAAAATTTCTTTCTGTTTTGTTTCAAAAAGATGTAATATGCGGCTCAGGATAATCGTGTTGCCACCTGTGTACGAACTAGGTAGAAATACAACGGCTGTAGCAGGGTATCTACTCAGCTGCTTACTCCTGAGCACATAAAAACATTTCTGCTTTGGTAGCATTACTTCAGAAGTAATCATGCAGTGTGTTTTTCCATCTCTTTGAGACCCTTGTCTGTAGTTATGGATAGCACACTGTACCACAGAAATCATTAGCTTTGCTTGGCTCATACATTTTTATATTGTTGTGCTACTAGGTTATTGCACGGGTGTGAAAAATAATGTTAAATAAAGCATGTTAAATAGCCTAGACCTTTTTCTTCCTTAAAAACTTTGTGTAGTATCTCTACAGATAGTTTATTTATACTTCTGCGAGGCTTGTAACAGATCCTGAAGCTTGCCCACCAAGAGGTTGTGGTTAGCAACCATTCATAACTTTATTTGTCTAAGTTTGTATTTAGCTCATCATGAGTTATTTAATCATGATTATTTTCAAAACATGTTTCTTTCATCCTTTCAGATTTTTGTGCTACAAACTGTACAGACATGGGATTGAGTCCCTTTTTTTCTGAATTGTAAGATTTTTTTTTTAAGGTTGCTTTTTAATTGTGACTTGATATTTTTGTGGTAATGAAACTTCATTTACTTAAGACAACAAAATTTATTAAGACAATCACATGTTAATAATTATTAAACAGTGTTTTAGGGACTTGTTTGCAATTTCAGGATTACCATTGACTTGTTGGGTGCCTTACATTATATTTAGTTAGGAAAATATGAATTGCTGGTTTTTATCATATACTTTGTTTTAGCTGAATAGTGTGGCTTCCCTTCATTTTGTCAAAGACATTTAAACTGTGTTTCTTCGTAGTATCTTAGTGTTTAATATTCCTACTATATTATTGGGAAAGTCTGTCTGGCATGTAAGTCAGACTTCTTAATATTGAAGTAGCTAGGTTCCTTCACTACATACTTCCAAGTTGTTTTTAGAATGCTTTTTTCCTTGAATTTTGGCAGATTATGATGAGTGCACCAAGTAAAGCGATAGAACTGCAGCTGCAAATGAAACAAAATGCTGAAGAGCTGCAGGATTTTATGAGAGAATTGGAGAGCTGGGAAAAAGATATTAAAGAAGTAGATTCTGAACTCAGGAAACAAAATGGTGTCCCAGAAGAGGTAAGAAAACACAAGGCCAGTGTCAACTTAGCTATTCATACTGTGATAGTGTCAATAATAATGTTTTGTATTAGCAAAATTATAATTGTTGATTTAGAACATCTGAATAGAAGTCATGAACTAACCCATGACATGTTCTTCATCTGAAGTAAACCAAACATTCCTCTGTAAACTGCTCCTCCAACAGAGCTGTGGGGCAGTAGCTTCTGAAGTGATGAGGCCAGTAAATTTTTTATGCATAGATCTATGAGAATATTTCTGGTTGCAGCATCAGTATTGCTGATTTACTGCTGACATTTAGTATATTGAAGTGATTATTCAGTGATACTCTGAAGAGAGATGTCTTCTAAAACTCAGTTTCATATCATACATGTAATATTTACTATTATATGTTGAAAGATTTATACTTATTGTTGTTAGTGGTTTTGTAGAGCTTATGAGAACAGCTTGCTGGATAGATTTCTAAAATAAAGTTAGCCACTAGATGGATATGCTGTCTAGATACAGGTGCTGTAGATTCTTCAATGCAAGTGATTTTCACACACGTTTTATAATAAGTTACTTAATTCTATTCAGAATTTGCCACCAATTCGAAACAAGACTTTTAAGAAAAAGAAGAAAAGCAAGAATAAAGTCCCTTCAAAGATAACCTCTGAGGAAAACAAGAAGAACAAAATCAAGTCTTACGATTATGAAGCATGGGGAAAACTTGATGTGGTGAGTTTTAAGATTTGCTGTGTTATCTGAGTCCTGTCCCCAGTTGATTCTGTGTTAAAGAAGAATTTGTTAGAGTGCTGAGAATTCAAGTCCACTAGTCAGTATCTTGGTGTGCTGGGTACTGCATGAACATAGAATAGCTTTCTCCCAAAGAGGTTATGTGTTTAATATTTGGAATATTGATAAATACTTGGTTTTCAATTGACTGTGCTTTCATCCAGCAGATTGAATTTAAGGGGGAAAAAACCTGTTTTAACAATAGGCCTGTTAAAAGGTCATAATTATAGTAGAATATAAGACTAAACACAGTTGTCAGTATTGAAGGACACATTAATGAAATCTCACTTGTATTATTTTGCACTGTTAAATTATAATGAAGACAACAGTGGGTTTTTTTTCTGATTCCAGGATAAAATACTTGAAGAACTTGACAAAGAAGATAGTACTCATGATTCTGTATCTCCAGAATCAGACTCTGAAGAAGATGGAATTCGTGTAGATGCTGAAAAGGCTCTTGCAGAGAAGGAAAAGGTTGTAGAATTATAGATGTTTATTATTGGTAAAGTAGCAATTTAGGTGTAGGAGTATTTGCAATTTTCTTTTAAAAGATCATCCATTGAGACCACACATCTAGTAAAAGAATTGCCTTTTTGGAACTCTTTGTCTGTTTCCCTACCCATTAGTCCAAAACAGAAAATTCTCGCTGCAGTTCTATTCCTTCTCATTGTCATTAGCAGCAGCCTGGCAGATTCTAATTAATATATGCTTGTGATGACAGAGGTATTGGTGATGTTTTGCTTTGAGAAGTTGAATGGCTGTATAGAATTGCTATATAGAGCAAACTGGTTTTTTACCTGAACCCAACATCTGAATGTCCTAAACTAACTCCACAAGAACTTAAAAATACACGCTTTGTGAGGCCAGTACATCATGATGGGTGAACTTCTTTGCTTTAATTATGGCAAGTTCGTACTGGTTCAGTTTTACCTAATAAGGTAGGATATAGAAAGAGATCTATCTCAGGCTTCATTGCCATGAGAAAGAGGCTCAGTTGTGTAGCAGCGTCTGTGTTTTTGATAAACTTCTTTGTTTGTAAGCAGTCACCTAATTCATCTCTCAGGCAGTAGTTCTAGCTTTGGTTTGGGTTTTTGTGGGGTGTGTTGTTTATTTTAAATTGCCTACATGGATGATATTTGCGTTCTTGCTGCTGTGGGAATTCCTTGACATGTAATCTGCAGTCTACACTGAGAAGTTGAGGTATCTTTGGCCATTATTGGCTGCATTGAGGTCATTGGGGGTGCATGCGACAAAAGTTGTGTTCCAGAGGAGGCAGAAATGAGAATGTTGATTTGGAAAGCAAAAATGCCAAACCTGGTTACTAAAAGCTTAGAAGAAACCCTTTCAGCAATCTAAGTAGATATATATGTGCTTGTTACAGGTTTCTGGAAATAACCTAGAGATACTGAAAATGAATAGTTTATAGACCCATTTTATAGAATATATAATGAAAATTATTTAATATGGTGCACTTAGAATATATTAGTTAGCATATTTCATGGTAAAGCAGCACTTCATGAGAAATGTTGAACAAAAATATTTAAGCATTTCTGAAATACTTTGATTTTTTAGAGTTTTTAACTAGCAATGTGTCTGCAAATCTACAGTAACTTGCTGAAAATGCTTTTTTTCTATTCACAGGGTAATAACTACTTTAAACAAGGAAACTTTGATGAAGCTATAAAATGCTATACTAGGGGGATGCATTCTGATCCATACAATCCCGTGCTGCCCACAAACAGAGCATCAGCTTTTTATAGAATGAAAAAGTAAGACTTGCATTGTTAAATCTGTAATAATTTTATACTTTAAATGCTACCTTCAGATTTTTGGTCTAGTTTTAATTCATGGTTTATTCATCATGCTGTGATGCAGTCTGTGTAAGGCTGTTGTTGCAACCTGCCTTCCAGTTTCAAAATAAAATAGGAATTGCCAGGAGAAACAATCTGGTAGTCTCATCAATTTTCCTTGGCTTGCCCACTAGTTCACCATCTTCTATGTTACAGTGTAACACTTGAAGAAAAAAGAGGAAGAGAAACTTAGAGCT